TGTGTGTGTGTGTGTGTGTGTGTGTGTGTGTGTGTGTGTGCTAGTGTGTACATCCAAAGCTGGCCCCCAAACCAGAGGAGACTGGAAATCATGCCCCATGGCAGAGAGCACAAGCTTCCGACAGACTTAGGTTCAAATCCCTGTTCAGCTACTAATGCTGTATAAAGGTAGGCATGTGGCTTCGTCTCTCTCCGCCTGTTTTCTCACCTGTAAAATGGAGGCATGTTACTGACCTCACAGAGTTGTAAGCGATAAGTTAGATGATAATGATAAAAATGTATTGAGCCCCCACCGAAGGTCAGGCCTTGTTCTAAGCACTTCGCCTATATCAACTCATTTTTCTAGTTCCCTCTCATACGAGAGTGGCCAGGATCAAAGGCTGAGTCTCCTCCATATAGGAAAGGAGGCCAGGCCTCCCGGATCGCGTCCACCTTCCTGCTGGCCCCTGGGTGCTGCTCAGTGCTGAGGGCAGAGGCAGGAGGGCACGCCTTTGACGCCGAAGGCTGACAGCCCCTTTTGTTTCTAGTTCTGCAGCCCTGCAGCCCACCAGGAGAGAGAGTGGAGCAGAGCCCACCCACTGTTCATAGCAGCAGAGGGACCCCAGAGGCTGACAGCGCCTCCTGTCCTGTCCCCACCTGGCTTCTGCTGTGGTCTGACAGTCCCCAGAGGCATCTAGGGAAGCTGCCCAGTCGTGGTGAGGATGGTGCGGTGGTGGGTGGTGGGTGAGTGGAGGCCACAGCGCGACACCATGGTTTCAACCTCAGGGACCATGTGGGCAGCAGTGCCTTCGCCAGGGCTGGTGCTGGGCCCGGGGAGCTCGGTTGAGAGCTCTGGGCAATGTTGGGGGGATGCCCAGAGGTACCTAGAGGTAGAGGTGATGGTCAGGAAGTAGGTACAGGTGGTAAAGGGGAGCCGAAGCACAGCAGGGGGCTCTGTGGGTCAAGGCCTGAGAGAAACCTGCGCGTAAGGATGACACCCCCACCCGCCCCGCCAAAAGGCCTCAGGTCTCCAGGGGCCCTGGGCAGGGAAAGGCTTGGCGTGGAACTCCGTGGGGAGGGTCACCAAAAGCCCCAGTTTACCTGCCATGATGGGGCCTGGGCCAAGCAGGGCAAGCCAAGCTTCCTGTCCCTGGGGCTGGGGAAAGCTGGCGTCCAGGTGAGAACTTGGGCCTGGGTGGCAGTGGCCTTCAGGGATTTCATTCTGATGGTGCCTCTCAGGCCTGAAGCTGCAGGATTAGGGCTACCCAGAGTTCCAGGCCTGGGAGAGAGAGAGAGGGTTCTGAACTCACCTGAAGCTCCGAGTCCTTTGGCCTGATTTGTACTGGGAGATCAGTGCCAGCTGGGTGAGTCCCCCTCCCTGGGTCCCCTGGTCTCTTCTCTAACAAAGGGACCAGGGCACTGGGTCCTTCCAGCTTACACATCCCAGGAACCGGAACCTCCAGAGATGGGCCCTCAGCTGCGGGCCCTGCTCCGCTCTCTCAGCACCAGCTTAGATGTGCTCAGATCAAGGAGCCCAAAACAGCACACCCTATCCCACCCTCCCCCCACCCACTGTGCGCTCACAGGCCCAGAACAAAAACACACACCACAAATAGAAATCAAAGTCTGAGAAAGAATCGAGGAGCCATGACCCAGCCGTGGGAAAGGCTGTGTGGCCTCAGCCTAGTCGCTTAACTTCCCTGAGTCCATTTGCTCATCTGTACAATGGGGTCACTGTACTAACCGTGAGGCATTGCTGTGAGAAGGTTAAGACATAAAATGCAGGATGCAGGTGTGATGTTTGCTCTAAAAATAAAGCCCCTCATGGCCAAAGGGTCCCATGCTGGACTCTCCCCTGACCGTCCCCCACGCCCCCGCAGTTCGGGCTGGGGCTGCCCCCTCACCACTTTCCTGTAAGGCTGCGGGTGGAGGGGCTGCCACAGTCTCCGCCTGGGCAGCGCTTCTGAAGGCATGCTCTCAGGCGCCACTTCCTGTTTTTCTCCCCAACGAATTTTGCACCACGATCTTTCATCACAGTGAGCTGGGGGCGGGCGGGGGGGTGAGGTGAAGGCAAGGTCTGCCTGGGGAGGGGACCTGGAGACCAGGAGGAACCGGGGGGCGGGGGGTCATCATGAAGCTGGGGAGAGGCCTGTGCTGGACGCGCTGCCAGGCTCTGGACTCTGTCGCCTCCAGCTCAGAGCAGCAATGCTGCTGGCAGAGACTGGGAGGCTGATGGAGGAGGCTGAGCAGCTGCCTGACCGGAGAAGTAGAGGAGGGCCTTGTTCCCATCCTCAGTCTGGAAACACTGTTTTTTTCCTAGGCTTGGGGTGGGACCTCTGGATGGACTGAGCCAGGCTGAACCCACATCTCTGGCGATATGAGGGGTGGAGGGGCCACTCTGAAAGGCGAGTCCAACCTCTCTGCCTCCCTGAGGCTCTCAGGCCTCTGAGCATCCAGCTCTAGAGTCGCTGGGCATCACCTCCTCCTGGGAGGAAATGAAGGAGCTGCCCCCACCCTGGCTGGGCCCAGGGCCCCTGTCCTTCCTCTCCCGTGGCTATAGACCTCTGACCGTTCCCCTGGGCCAAGCCTGACTTGTCCAGCCATGACTGCACTACTCCATTCAGTTAGCATTTCTACAGACTCACTTATAACACTCTCTGGGTGCAGACACAGAGTCCGGGCCAGCGAGGCAGCCCAGATCCGTGCAGAATCCCTGCTCCCAGGGCAGCCCAGAGCTCAGGCAGTCACAGCGGGGCAGACTGAGTGCTGCGTAGGAATGGCACAGCCGGAGTCAAGACCCCTCGCAACAGCGAGCCAGGTGGATAATATCTGTGCTGAGTAGTCAGGCAAATAAAGCGGTGTGGGGCCAAGGGAGAGCGGGAAGGGCGCTCCCGGCAAATAGAACAGCATGAGGGAAGGCCCAGAGTCAGAGAGAGAGCCTGGGGTGTCCTGGGGCTGCAGCGTGGGGTGTCGCCGCTCATGGTGCAGCAGGGGGGCAGGGTGGGGACGTGGTGGGAGGTAACCCTGGGGGCTAGCGGGGTCGGCTCCCTTGGTAATCAGATGTGCACCTCTGAGCCAGCATACAAGTGGTTCTGGGGATCGGAAATCAGCCCTGTTGGCTCAAGCAGGAAGGGAGACTTCATCGCGAAGGGTACAGGGTGCACCCATGGAACCCAGAGGTGCAGCCCAGCTTTGGGGCGCTGGAACCAATCAGCCCTGGACACTTCCTCAGCATCACTTACCTATCCCCATTTGACTCCCTGCATCACACCGGCCAAGCTGATGTCTCCTGGACCCCTTCCCCCAAAGAGAACTATTTCCAGGCCCATCTCCCTGGGAAGCAGTTGACTGTGCTGTCTGGGATCAGGCCTCCCCTCCGGCCCAGTCAGCTGTGGCTGGTAGTCAGGTCTGTGTGCCGAGGGCCTGTCTCATGACCACATGAGGGAGGCTTACCAGACCATTTAAGAGCCTACGAGGTAAGTGTCCACTGCAGTCCATCCCGTTCGTCCCTGCCCAGCACACACCCTCGCTTAACTCCTTTGGCTTTCCGCAGATACCTCTGTCCCAGCTGCCCTTGCTTAAACCTTTATGCCACAAAATCAGCCACAAATCCCTCCCCTTTGCCCAGTGTGAGACAACCCACGTCGTGTCAAACTATTGCATCCAGGGCACCGTCCCAGAGCTGCCACGTCCACCTACCACCCACCTTCTCTACTTCTGCTGACTCTCCTCTAAGGTGCCTCCTTAGGGTTCCCCTCAATCGATAGATGAAGCGACCAAGTTAACCTCTTGCTTTACTTGATCTGTGGAAAGGGGACGCACTATACAGAGCACATGCCACGATCTTCTAGAATAAATTAAACATGAGGAACTCGCTATCGCATGGGCCTTACTCTGCTGGGTACCTCCCGTGGCCCCTTTGTTGGCAGGTGTCTGCCCCCGGCTCTGCCCACTGGGAAGGAATCCCTTGTCTGAAGTCTTTCAGACCCGCCCTGGAGAGGTTCTCGGGAAGGAATTTTCTGGAAGAGGGTGCAGGTCCCCGGCAACCTGCTTCTTGTTGGTGCCAGAACGTTGGGCCAAGGGATCGTCTGGAGGATGAGACATCACAAACCCCAATTTCCAGGTTTTAGGGTTTCCTGGAGTTTCAACCCCCATAAAACCCAAGTCGGTTGCCTGTCGGTTTTATTTTGGGTCATGTCATTCACCAGTAACCAATTCCATGAAATCCTGTCCAGTTCAATATTTAGCCTTAGACTTGACCATGGCTCATGGCTGGGGATTTCTTCTTTCAGCCTAAGGGTGAGAAGAAGAAATCATCATCTGACTTGGGGTGGAGGGAAGGCTTTTTCTCCAGTTTCTCTTGGAAGGCTACCCCTGCCTGCCTTCACACCACTTGACATTGGAAGGCTTTGAAGGGACGAGAAGTGAAGGGTTGTTCACCCCGGTGGCTCTTCCCAGACATCCCCATTCCAACTGTGAAGCGCACAGACTTTTCTATGCAGTGTGCCAACCTTAGTGTTACAAACAGGTGTGGCAGAGAACGTACCTGCTGCTGTATAGCAAGTGCCGGATTACCTGACGCGTGGTTGTCACGGGCTATTGGAAACAAGAATTTCCCGTAACAGAGTTTTTGCGCTGCTTTGTCCTGATCTTGGGCCAAACTGAACTGAAGGTTGTTTTACAGCACCTTCCAAAGGTTCCTAGAAGTAACTCACACACCGATATCTTGGACATTTTTCTTTTATTTTTTTAAAGATATTTTATTGGGGAATTGGGGGAATGGGAACAGACAAGCTGCTGTCTTTTTGTTCTTCAGTCTAGTTGTGGAGGACGTTGCCTCACTGGCCCAAGTTGGCACCATCATTGTGCTCTTCCCAGGTGAGGCAGATCAGTCGCAGGCTTCTGGATGGCCGCTCATAGCGGCTGCTGGCCGCTCACGCTGGCTGCTGGCTACACACAGTAGCCCATGGCAACCCGCTGCAGCAGGGGCTGCAGCCTACACCATCACCGACAACTCATGGCAGCCCAGCTCCGGGTTGAGCTGTTGTTCAGCATTTTAGCTGTAGAGGGCAGTGTCACTGGCCCTCATATGTGGGATCCGAACTGGGGCCCTCTGGCATCCCAAACCAGCTCTTAACCAATGTGCCACTCGGCCGGCCCTCTTGGACATTTTTCTACCAAGCTTTCTAAAACTTCAGTCTTGGTCGGCACATGTTCTGAATCCCATGAGACCATTGGAAATAGTTGAAATATTTCAACTATTAGCAAGAACTGCAGGTGTCCCATCCGTGAATAAGGAGTCCTCGCTGCCCCTCCCTCTGCCTCAAGACTTGTAGCTTTCTTTGAAAAATGATTTCTTCCAACATCCTACTTCTGATGCCAATGTATGTATTAATTGGGATTTTTATTTGTTTGTTTGTTTGTTTGGTTGTTTCAAAAAATGTAAACCGACTCAAGAGAGTTTGCTCTGGGTTGAATATTGTCTCCCCAAAACTCATGTCCACCCAAACTCTCAGCGTGTGACCTTAACTAGAAATAGGGTCTTTCAGAGCTGGCCGAGTGGCTCAGTTGGTTAAGAGCTCACTCAAGAGTGCGAGCTCTGAGCAACAGCGGTTCGATGCCTGGCCGGAGCTGAGCTGCCACTGAGCTGCAAACAGGTGGCAGGATGGCTCAGCTAAAAAAAAAGAAAAGAAAAGAAATAGGGTCTTTTTAGGTCTCATTAGTTAAGATGAGGTCACACTGGATTAGGAGGTCCTTATAAGAAGAGGAAAATTTAGACAAAGGTGCACACAGGGAGAACCCCGTTTGAAGGTGGAGGTAGAGATCAGAGTGATGATACATCGCTAAGCCACCTGACGCCAAGGATTGCAGACGGCCATCAAAAGATAAGAGAGAGGAACACCAAGGTTTGCAGGCCGCCACCAAGAGATAAGACAGAGGCATGCAACAGATTTGCCCTCAGAGCCTCTGGAAGGAACCAGCCCTGCCAACACCTTGAATTCACACTCCTTGCGTCTGGAACTGTGAGAATAAATTTCTGTTGTTTTAAGCCAACTTGTCACAGTAGCCCTAGGAAATTGACATAGATTTTAAGAAGAATACAGGAGTAAGTTATAGGGTGTGGGGGACTTTCGGAAAAACTCTAGGGCAAGGATGCAGTGGGACCTCCGAAAGATACAAGGACCAGGGAGGAGCTGAAAAGTTGCCCAAGGGCGGCTGGATGGCTCAGTTGGTTAGAGCGCGTGCTCTTAACACAAGGTTGCTGGTTCAATTCCTTCATGGGATGGCGGGCTGCACACCACCCCCCCACACACCCCCACCCCGCAAGCAGATTGAAAACAGCGACTGGGCTTGGAGCTGAGCTGCGCCCTCCACAACTAGATTGAGAACAACGACTTTACTTGGAGCTGATGGGTCCTGGAAAAAACACACTGTTCCCCAATAAAGGTAAAAAAAAAAAAAAGTTGCCCGAAACCTTATCTCGTGTCTGTGACCCCGTCTTCCT